TACAGGTTTCTCTGGAGACAGGGAAAGCAATCCGGGATTCCCATATGCTTAAGAATTTTCCACAGTTTGTTGTGATCCACACAGTCAAAGGCTTTACAATAGTCAATGAAGCAGAAAAAAGATTTCCCTTATTTGTCCATGATCCATTGAATGTTGACAATTTGATCTGGTTCATTTCCCTTTTCTAAACCATGCCTATACTTCTGGAAGTTGTCAGATCATGTACTGCTGAATCCCAACTTGAAGGATGTTAACTTGCTCACATGTGAAATGAGCACAACAGTACAGTAGTTTGAACAATCTCTGTCATTGTCCTTCTAAGGGACTAAAATGGAAACTAACCTTTTCCAGTTCTTTGGCCACTGCTGAGTTTTCCAAAGTTTCTGACACATAGTTTGCAGCCCTTTAATAGCATCATTTTTTTAGGATTTTAAAGAGCACATCTTGAATTCTGTCACCTCCATTAGTATTGTTCATATATTGTTGTTCATATCCTAAAGCCCACTTAACTTCACAGTCTAGGATGTCTGGATCCGGTCTCGTTGAGTAACATTCCATTGAGGGGAGATGTTCCATTCCCTGACCTCTGAGTTTTAGTAGGAATAGAATTCAAGTGTGTGGCTTAATTGAAGAAAGTTGAGAGCAAGATTTCTACCTGAACATACTCTTTCCAGTAAAGCATTCATACTTACAGTCAAAATAATAAGCATCTTCTTCCTTTGTGCCTGTGGTATATGATCTTGTGCATTCTCCATCCTCCCTTAAAAACAAAACACATTTAAGTTAGTTGACTAAGATAATAAAAATTTGATGGATAGTTAGGATTCTTTCGGTATGACACCCAAGGATATGTGTCAAGTACCACCTCAGTGCCGGTGAACAATTTGACCTTTAAAAGAGACAAAATGTGTGGTCTCAGATCCAGTCACCATCATGTGACAAGGATGGCTTGTCTACACAGTGAATCTGACCAGTAGTTCCAAAGATAACCTGCAGATACAAAACAGGTCGTGTGTAAAGCCAATAAACATAGAGAAATCTAGAATTTTAGGAAAAAAGACAAAGAACGAACTTTTCCGTTCTATATATAGTTTCTGAAAACGGAGAGGCATAGCCGTCATGACAAACCCTGTGCGTTGTCACAGCCCTGGCAGTGATTCATTAGACAATGAAAGTGAAAGTGTTTGTCGCTCAGTAGAGTCCAACTCTTTGTGACCCCATGGACCCGCCAGTCTCCTCCTCTGTCCATGGGATTCTCCAGGCAAGAAGAATGGAGTGGGTTGCCATTTCCTTCTCCAGGGGAATTTCCCGACCCAGGGATCGAATCCGGGTCTCCTGCATCACAGGCAGATTCTTTACCCTCTGAGACACCAGGCAAACCCTTATTAGATAATATGAGAGCCACCAGGCCTTATTACACAGACTAAGAGCCAACAGCAAAGCCATCATTAGACAATCTGAGAGCCTAAAATCACAAAATTCAAAAAAAGTTTTTCTCCAAACACACACTCTGCCTCCATCACAATACCATATGAGGATTAAACTTGAAAGACACATGTCTGTATACATGTGTATACATACAAATTTCTCACTCACAAAGACACAAACACTAGTAAACACTGAAGTACACATGATGTGCTTATATGATATTATGAAGAGATGTGTGTGTATAATAGATGATAAGTATATATTGTCACCTCTGTAACAAAAGAGTAAGTGGCTTCTCATATGTCCTCTGTACATGTATGTGAAAAAAGGTGTATTTAACACATAGAAAGAGTTTTCATGAAACTAATACTAAAAGGGAAATAACCCTACAGGAACTGGATTAATTTTTGAACAGACATCGTGGAAATCAATGCCCACAGTGAAGTGTGGTGAGTGTTCTTGGTCATTGAAAGTGAAACTGCAAGTTACTCAGTCATGTCTGCCTCTGTGTGACCAAATGGACTATACAGTCCATGGAATTCTGCAGGCCAGAATACTGGAGTGGATAGTTTATTCCATGTCCAGTGGAACTTCTTGACTCAGGAATTTAACTGGGGACTCCTGCATTGCAGGTGGATTTTTTTTACCAACTGAGCTATGAGGGAAGCCCTCTTAGCCATTAGGGAATTGAAATGCATTGAAACCACTGAACAGCAACCACAAAGTGGGAATACAACAATTATCCAATACAGGGCAAATACAGAAAGTTTTATCTCAGCAGACAAACTCCTTTCATTTGGCTTGAAAAATGTAACTCCTTTCATTTGGATTGAAAAGCGTGATTCCTTGCATATGCAGACACTGATACCTGTTTTAAACATTGCGTTGAGTGATGGAAGGTGGGGAAAATGATTCATAGTGCACAATTTTCTCACGGGAAGAGCCAGAGAAGTCTAGAACGTGCAGANATATAAATGTGTTTCGGTCTCTTCCTATATGATGCTGCTGCCGCTAAGTAGCTTCAGTCGTGTCCGATTCTGTGCAACCCCATACACGGCAGCCCACCTGGCTTCACAGTCCCTGGGATTCTCCAGGAAAGAACATTGGAGTGGGTTGTCATTTCCTTCTCCAATGCATGAAAGTGAAAGTGAAGTCGCTCAGTCGTGTCTGACTCTTAAGAGACCTCATGGACTGCAGCCTACCAGGCTCCTCCGTCCATGGAATTTTCTAGACAAGAGTACTGGAGTGGGTCATCATTGCCTTCTCCCTGTTCCTGTATGAGTGGTTTTCACTTAATTGTAAGTATACTGTCAAATGATGAAGCTGAAACTCCAATACTTTGGCCACCTAATGTGAAGAAATGACTCATTAGAAAAGACACCGATGCTGGGAAAGATTGAAGGCACTAGAAGGGGATGGCAGAGGATGAGATGGATAGATGGCATAACTGACTCCATGGACATGAGTTTGAACAAACTGCAGAAGATGGTGAAGGACAGGGAAGCCTGGCATGCTGCAGTCCATGGGGTCGCAAAGATTCGGACACAACTGAGCGACTGACCTGAACTGAACTGAAGCAAAGGAGGTGTGCTGGAGAAATTTTATATTTTTCTTTTTAAAAAAGAACTTTTTATTTTTGAGACTGTTGTGTCTTTTTGCCAGCACGGTGGCAAAAAGACAAGAGTCTCAGTCTCACAGGCTCAGTCACAGCAGCACATGGGCTTACTTGCACCGGGGCACGTGGGGTCCCTCCAGACCAGAGATGGAACTCCTGTCTCCTGCATTGGTAGATGTATTCTTAAGCACTGAGCCACCAACTGAAGCCTGGGCTTTTATATCTTGACTGTGTAGATGGTGAAAGAATTGTGCACATGTTAAAGCTCATTGAACTGAGCATTCCACAAAGGTGCATTTAATTCCATGTAACTATACTTCTTTGTGTGTTCACTTGCTCAGTTGTGTCCGACTCTTTGTGACCCCATGGACTGTAGCCCACCAGCCTCTTCTGTCCATGGGATTCTCCAGGCAAGAATACTGGAGTGGGTTGCTACTTCTTATTCCAGGCAAAACCGATTTCAGAAAGATTAGCTACATGAAAATTTAAGCATATGACAGAGAAATTGTAAAATACGGCAAAGAGACAGATGTGCTTAAAAATGACAGATGTTCTTTAAAAAATTAGTGAAAACAGACAAATGTTTCTCCTGAGAGAGGATATAAATGTGTTTCAGTCTGTTCCTATATGATGCTGCTGCCGCTAAGTAGCTTCAGTCGTGTCCGATTCTGTGCAACCCCATACACGGCAGCCCACCTGGCTTCACAGTCCCTGGGATTCTCCAGGAAAGAACATTGGAGTGGGTTGTCATTTCCTTCTCCAATGCATGAAAGTGAAAGTGAAGTCGCTCAGTCATGTCTGACTCTTAAGAGACCTCATGGACTGCAGCCTACCAGGCTCCTCCGTCCATGGAATTTTCTAGGCAAGAGCACTGGAGNGACATAAAATCAGTTATATGTATTTATAAAGCAATATCTCCAAGCATAAAACATTTCATTGTTTTATTTCTTCATATTTTTCTTCCTGACAAGGCATACCTGAGTCTACATGTTCTGTTTTGGTTTTTCTCGGGTGGGCTGAGGTGGGGGATAACTGCGAAACAAATGTGTTGACTTCTGCAATACTTGCATGTTCCTAGGAAACCGTTGTGGTAGAGTGGACATTCCATGAATGATACTTGGAGCTGTGTGTGTGTCCTCCGTTGCTTACTCCTGTCCGATTCTTTGGGACCCCTTGGACTGTAGCCCACCAGGCATCTCTGTCCGTGGGATTCTCCAGGCAAGTATACAGGAGTGGGTGGCCATTTCCTCCTCCAGGGGATCTACTGACTCAGTGATCGAACTCATGGCACGTGCATTGGCAGGCGCCTGGGAAGGCACCTGGGAAAGTCACTAGGGGCTCTGACGGCTTTGGGAAACTCAGTGGTGATGAGACATCACGTGAGGAAGCCCCGAGGGTAGAGCTCACTGTGTGCCCTCCCCGGGCTCTCACTTCTGGGCTCAGCAGGAATCATCTCTTACAAATCCGCAGGAAGGCTTCAAGCCCTGGTGGGGACTCAGGACATGAGCGTCTTCCCTCCGCTGTGTCCCTCTCTCCTTTAATGAGCTGATGCCAGTGGAGCTTCTGGATTCCCCCTCTAAGCAGAATTTTCAGGACATTCCCTGGAGGCTCACAGAGGAACTGCCCTCGCCCCAGCTCAGAGACCCCACTCAGCCCCACAGCTCAGAGCGTCTTCCTCTCAACGTCACCCAGAGAGCTCCCTGTAGACGGGGAGGAGACACCCTCCCTTAGGCCGGGGTTTACAGGTGTTTTCCTTTTGGGTGATTTTTACTTACTTGACATAAAAGTGGAACAGTATTGTGCCATTTTCTTCATCAAACTCAATGTAACGCATGAAAGTGTGGAATGCCCCACCCTCGGTGATCTTCTCTACGTTATCAGCGCCATTGTAATGAGATATCCATCTTCCTGTGAACTACAAGTAAAATTCCCTTCAGAAATCTTAGTCCATCTCTGTCAATTCTGCCCAACATCATCCCTCAGGAGGTTCCCTGCCCTTTCACTTGAGCAGAAGTTACCTATCATTATGAACACAGCCCTAGGTGTAAAATCATGGGAAAATTCATGTCAGATAAAGGAAGTAATTGAGGTATTACTGAGATAGCTTGAGCTGTCTTGTCAAATGCAAGAGGCCTAATCCAGTAGCTATGTGATGTTCCTTCATTTTTACAAGAGCAGTGAACATGCATGAGAGCCAATGAATATATGGCAGAGGTGATACAGAGATCACAAACAGCATGTATAGAGCCAGTGAATGGAGCAATTTTGAACTGCAGGGAGATGGCTAGACTTAGCGATCCACATGACCAAACCTCGATAGGGACATTCACATGGATACACATCAAGATCTCCTCCCAAGCTTGAACCACCGTTCAAATGCCCCAGTACCTGTGAGTTGTCTGTCTGTGCTTCACCTTCACTGGCCACAAGCAGACCAAGGACAAGATTGAACAGTAGAACCTTCATCTTGCTGACTCTCAAGACCCTTATTCTCTAGAAGCTGAGGGTGTCCCAGTGGGTTGGAGAGGATGCAAAATTCCTGCCACTTTTATGGTCTGAGTGTGTTGGCGTGACACATCATGAACCAATGGTTGTTCCTCATATGACCACAGTTAAAACAGAAGGCAACTTCAGTATCCTGGTTGGCAGAGATAAACGTTTCTGCTATTCTGTCATTTTAATAATGATATTTGTTTTAAGAGAAGCATATGTAGATGTGCGCATTTGACATTTTAAGTGAGAAATTGCAGTACATCCAATATTGCAAGGGGACAATTATTGATTTTCCTGTTTATCATGAGATCCAAAATGAGATGAACTGTCCAAGGTTCATATCCCTCACTCCTGCTTAACATTTCTTTTCTGAAAGTAACGATTGACTGTGTGGTTTAGCCAAGGGAACACTATTTCCTAAGAGTCCCTTGGAAAGACTCCTGTTATTCTGATGTGAGGAGCAGGTCAGCACCAAGAAATTTTCACCTTCTCCTGCCCCAATGTGGCCTTTTTCCTCCTGAGTACTAAGAGGACGGTCTGGTAAAATGCCACTTAAACTCATTTGGAGAAAGCACATCAGTAGTTTATTTTCAGTAATTTCTTTCCAGACACGCTTTTACCCATTTAATCTGTAATATAATATTTACTCACTAACTCAGTTGTTTCTCCCAGCGAGTAAAAGAGCTGGACAGCAGTTCTTACAATTTTTAGAATTCTGAATGGAAAAAATAAATTTTCTTACTCAAGGTTAGTTAGGAACTAAGTTACTGAAACAGTGAAAGAGTCATTTTTTTTTTTTGTATTTTTTAATCAAATTTTACTTAGGTTCATCTTCATTCATGGTTCTTTATCAAACAAATACATTGAAAGATTTATTTTGTTCTAGTATAGAAATTATGAAGTGAGATTCAGGGTTCCTGCATCACCTAAGTGAGAATTGACCCAGTGCTGTCTGCTCTCGGGACAGATCAGAGCTCTGAGTCCTTCATTTGCATTGAAGTCAGACCTTTGAGGAGAGCTTCTCATCTCAAGGGTGTCTTCAGCTCACATCTTCAGAGGATCACTTCCCTTCATGTTTACATGGACTGACAATAGTATCTATGTTTTTTTCCCCCACTGCCACTTTTATGGTCTGAGTGTGTTGGCGTGACACATCATGAACCAATGGTTGTTCCTCATATGACCACAGTTAAAACAGAAGGCAACTTCAGTATCCTGGTTGGCAGAGATAAACGTTTCTGCTATTCTGTCATTTTAATAATGATATTTGTTTTAAGAGAAGCATATGTAGATGTGCGCATTTGACATTTTAAGTGAGAAATTGCAGTACATCCAATATTGCAAGGGGACAATTATTGATTTTCCTGTTTATCATGAGATCCAAAATGAGATGAACTGTCCAAGGTTCATATCCCTCACTCCTGCTTAACATTTCTTTTCTGAAAGTAACGATTGACTGTGTGGTTTAGCCAAGGGAACACTATTTCCTAAGAGTCCCTTGGAAAGACTCCTGTTATTCTGATGTGAGGAGCAGGTCAGCACCAAGAAATTTTCACCTTCTCCTGCCCCAATGTGGCCTTTTTCCTCCTGAGTACTAAGAGGACGGTCTGGTAAAATGCCACTTAAACTCATTTGGAGAAAGCACATCAGTAGTTTATTTTCAGTAATTTCTTTCCAGACACGCTTTTACCCATTTAATCTGTAATATAATATTTACTCACTAACTCAGTTGTTTCTCCCAGCGAGTAAAAGAGCTGGACAGCAGTTCTTACAATTTTTAGAATTCTGAATGGAAAAAATAAATTTTCTTACTCAAGGTTAGTTAGGAACTAAGTTACTGAAACAGTGAAAGAGTCATTTTTTTTTTTTGTATTTTTTAATCAAATTTTACTTAGGTTCATCTTCATTCATGGTTCTTTATCAAACAAATACATTGAAAGATTTATTTTGTTCTAGTATAGAAATTATGAAGTGAGATTCAGGGTTCCTGCATCACCTAAGTGAGAATTGACCCAGTGCTGTCTGCTCTCGGGACAGATCAGAGCTCTGAGTCCTTCATTTGCATTGAAGTCAGACCTTTGAGGAGAGCTTCTCATCTCAAGGGTGTCTTCAGCTCACATCTTCAGAGGATCACTTCCCTTCATGTTTACATGGACTGACAATAGTATCTATGTTTTTTTCCCCCCTTTTATTCTCTTTCCTTTCAGCTGAAATATCATGCTTTCTCTTTTGTTCATACATTCCTCTGTATATTATCCTGTCGTATTTTCAGCTGGAAAGTCTGTGTAATAGAAGGTTTTCATGTCTCCGAATATCCTGAAACAGTTTCCTGTCTTTGGTCTTTGATCCAGATACTAATTTTCTATTTTTGACTGTTTCTTTGTCTTTGCTGCACCATGCAGCATGCAGGTTCTTAGTTCTCTAAGGAGGATGAAACCCTTATGGGCCCTGTGCTCTGTGCAGGGGAAGGGCAATATCTTACCACTGGACTACCAGAGAAGTCCCTGATTCAGACAACTTGAGTACTCATGTCATCACAGCTAACACCCCTTATCATCCCATCATCACCCTTCCACCTCTACTTTTGTACCTAAAGTGTTCCCAGGTTTTCCTTTTGGACTCTTCCCAACATGTGTCCCCAGGAAGTGTATCCTAGGATCATCCCATCTTAGGAAGATCTTTCTTATTGCCAGTCAAGAGGAGATTAGACACTAGTTCTTCTAAGAGATTATGGCAACAGTTGTCATAATCAAGTTGGCTCCCATTCTCTTAGCCCTCTTCTTCCCTAGTGTGTTCACAAGTCTGTTCTCTATATCTGCATCTCTGTTCCTCCCCTGCAAATAATATGTAGCTGGTGAGAAGTCGGTGAAACACAAAGAGCCCAGAGAGGCGCTTTGTGATGACCTGGAGGGGTGAGATGGGGTGAGGGGAGGGGGCTCAGAAAGGAAGTGATTAATGCATTGTTGTATGGCAGAAGCCAAGAAAACATTTTAAGACATTCTCCAATTAAAAAATAGAAGAGAAAGGGAAAAGTTTTCATCCTTAGGGTAACAGAAAAAAAGAAAAATCCAATTGCTTAGTATTGAAAGGACTCATATGCCCTTTAATCCCAACTCTCATTAATATTGGTCAAAATGTAGGCAATAGAGTAATAAATAACAGCAGACCCATCTTACCAAAACATTACTGCTGTAACTCGCTCCAAATAGCGCTGAGCCCTGCTTGGTACATCTTCCTGTTTTCTCCTCAGATTTATTCAGGTTTTTGTAGCTGAGAAGTCTCTAACAGCAGGTTATTAATTTTGTTTTACTTGTCTGTTTTCTCTATAACCACTGCTTTTACATCTTAGATTGCGCAACTCTTAACTAAACATCGCAAGGAGGCTATTGATCTTGGCCACTCAAAATTTCAGTTTCCCTCAATGATTCGTGACCAAGGTTGCAATGCAGTTAGAGTCTAAAGTTGAGACAATCAAACACAAGCCCACTATTTTAAAGAAAGTAACTGTCTATATAGCTTTTATGACAAAAATGTATTTTTGTATTTATTTATTAGTGAATTTATATATTTGCACTAGGTCTTAGTTTCAACACACAAAGTCTTTGCTTTGTCATAGCTGGGATCTTTAGTTATGGCACATGGACTCTCTACTGGTGCTACTGACAGACCAGTGAACGTGAAAAAGGAGGCAGGGAGGTAAGGAATACAACTTTATTTGGGCAGTTGGCTGAGAAGATGGTAGACTAATGTCTCAGAGTAACCATATTGTCAGGGTTTGGAGGCCACGTTCTTTTACAGAACCAGAGGGAGAGAAGTTATGAGAAACTAAAGTGAAAAGGCAGAATAGAGAGCTAGAGACAGTGAGAAAGCAAAGTAAAAATGGTCTTCAGTCTTGCAGAACATCTCGGAATGGGCCAGCCTTTGGAATGTGTGTGTTAATTTCTTCTTTTCATACCTGGGCAGGGTCAGATTACCTCCCTGTGAGCTGAGAAAAGGCACTTTAACAGCCAGGCTGAAGGGTAGTGTTTCTGAGGCAGGCCATAATGTCGATTATAATAACAATGGCAACAAAAAGCAAGCCACAGAAACAGTTCCAACATGAAGTCGGCTGCGGTTCTTCTCTACAGTCCCCACTGTCAAAGTCCATCCTACAGTCTTATGGAAAAAGAGGGCAGTGACCATGCTGCTTCACGAGAAGGATCGTTCTGGGAGTGTTCACCACTGGTGTCAGTGTTTCATATGTTGAGATTTTGCTTCTTGTTTTCCTCTTTGGAAAGTGTCTACTGGACACCTACTGTCACCCTCAAAATTCTGCACTTGAAATCCAGGAGAAAATAACTCAAGTTAAGGAGTTGAGCACTTTTCCATGCATGGGAAGACACAAGAGTCAGGGCTCATTAAAATGACTTCCTTGATATGTACTTCACCTCTCTGAGGGCACAGGATCCTATAATCTCAGCGTTTCTTCAGGGTTCACCACAGGGAGTGGCTGTAGTGTGATGATCCTAGATAGCAGATATTCTCCTTCTTCTCATCTAAACAGTTCATGTTGGAGGGCTGTGATTGTTGGGTACAATTTTCAGGCTTCCCCCTCTTGGTCATGAATGTGACCAATTTTTGGAGATATTTTATGATCAACACTTGTCACGGCACTGGCAGGCTCCACCCAGTTTAGGCAAAAATTTTTGATGTGCCACTCCAGGTGTTCAGTTTTGGACCAGGCCCCATCAGCAATTAAAAATTATCTGTGGATTCTGGCTAACTAAA